TGTACACATAATAGATCCTGACTTATTGCATACTTTTACTCCAAGGAGCATGACAACTTCAGTGATTTTTGGTTGGAGTCTGTTTGTTTGTACAATGTTTCGCTATAAATAGCTGTTTGTACAGAGACTAACCCCTCTACCGCCACACATGTAACTCCACCTAAGGCAGCATCATAGGGGCGTTGTTGATCAGCCTGGTACTAGAGTTAAAAAGCTGGTTAATATCCGTACAAAATTGGGGCCTGATGCCAGCACACAATGCGTGCTGGCTCTAGACATACAGTGGTGGTACACACTTCCCTCCGCTCAATCAGTGACACCATTGAAAGTAGATTAGGTTGTTGGAGAACTTGGACTTGACTGTTTTCTGTTTGTTTGGGGCACCAAAGAAAGGGTTACTACAAACAAAAACCAGTGTTTTATAAAAACACTGACTTTTGGTTGGAGTATCCGTTTCTTCAAGGTATAATCAAAATTTTGCTATCAAAGATTTTGAGTGATATCATTTTTACTCTAAGAGGATGAAAATTTATTTTTTCTCTTCAGGCATTTTGCATTTCTCTTCAGGGATTTATTTAGTGCATCACAGTAAAGCATAAGTATATAATGGATTACTTACTCGAAGTCAAGCTTGTCAACTTATTTAAAACCCTTCAGCACTCATGGGAAGGGGCATTTGAGGCCTAATCCTCAAAATATGAACAACTTCTCAAACTCACTTACTAAATTAGGATTAGATTCTAGATAAAAAAGTGTAGTTTCTGTGACTGCTTTCTTGAAACTAAATACAGACTGAACACTGGCGTTCTGCCAAGTTGAAAGCTATTTCATTGAGCACAACTAAATGTCTAAATGGAAATACAGTATGTAGTGCTGAGTTGACTATCAAGGTCTTTTTCGAAATGTTCTGAAGTTCAAGTGATAATAACTTGCAATAAAGCATGAGTTCAGTTCTTAAAATCTGGAATTCTCTCAAAATCTACTCCAGTTTTTGACAATTACTTATACATGAGCAATGGTAGTTCTTGTTTGGTTGTGTGACAGAGCTCCCTGTACCCCGGCTGGGTAACTCTGCCAAGCTTGCTTCCTAACTCTCAATTGGGACACCCATAGTGCTTCAGCCCCTAACCACCACAGCTTGGCTGGGGGTCTCTCTGTCGCTTCCTGTCCTGGGTACAGCTTCAAGAGATTATGCAGAAAGTATAGCTGTATAGCTAGTCCACCCAAACACTAGTCGAGACTGAGTGAAGGGTGAACATGAACTGCTTTATTCCGGTAAGGCACACATAATTTATACACAGACCCCCAGCATGGGGTCTCCATTGTATGCCACATAACACCGCCCAGGTATCTCTCTGTGTTAGGAAGGTAATTGAGTTAATAACCGATGAACTAATTACCCCCAAGACACAGAGGGTACAAAAAAAACAAAAAAACACTCAATACAATAAAATACTCCCAGGGACCGATCGACACACATTCCCCGCTAAATCGTCCATGAGCTGGAACGAGATGAAGAATAACCCTTTCCCCTCCGAGTAACTAGATGACACATAGTTCTGGGAGTACAACTGATTTTAAGGAGTCAAACTCTGCTTTTTATGCACAGACCCCAGCAGGGGGTCTCCAAACAATACAATACAAGCCCCTCCTAGAGATCTGTGCCTGTGAGATAATTGAGTTGAAGACCGGTAAGCTCAATATGTACCATGAACAGAGAGCCAAACATAAAAACATAAAAGTACCCCCAAACATCATAAAAACATACAATAATCCCACAAATAATACATCCCAGAATACCCCTGATCTGAGTACCCAAGTTGTCCAAATAGCGCTTAGATCCATGCAGTGTAGTGAAATCGTCACAGGTGTAAAGTTCTAACCGGCCTCACATTTGGTCCATGCCCAAAATAGTTCTAGAGCAATTAGTGCTTTGGCCAGTCATCTTTCGGGAGCTCCTGCGGCCGACATATGGGGTGCTCCTCCTTGCTCTCAGGAAGCGATTGTTCCTCACAGTGTCAGGCACCTTCCCTCCAAAAAGCACTCTCCTGGCACGTCGGCAAGGGAGTCAAAGCACCAGAACAAGATGACTGGGAACTGCAAGGTCACATAGCCGAAAACGGTTCCAGAGCGGTCGCGGCTAAGTACTGCTGAAGTCTGTTAGCGGGTTAGTTTGTGCGAACGACTGCTGGGGAGTGAGCGTTCAGTTAAATTCGGGAGAGGGTAGGTACCGAATCAGGGGAACAGAGGAGAAGTCTCTTGGGGAGGCCGGACAGGTTAACTCCTGCACAGGATATTGGGATACGGCCCATAGTCCTTGGACAGGAGGCTAGCTAGCAGGCTCCTTCAGGTGCTTGTGGCCATAGGCACGTTTGCCACAGGTTGTTATTAAAATTTTTATTTCAATTATGCTCTATATATACTGATTTCATCTTTATGTACGGTCAGAGTAGACTAAAGTCTTGAATAGGAATATGTTTCTTTACACAGACCTCCAAAGTAAGTAAGAAGCTAACAATATTCAGACTTTATTTTTCTTGTTTGTTTTGTTTTAACTATGTCTTAATCTATTTTTTTTTTTCCTTTTTTAAAACTCAGAAAAGTTACATAAGCCACAAGTATAAGAAACTTAAAGCGGCACTGTCATGCCGAATCCTGTTTTGTTTTTTTTGCCCCCTCCGACCTCCTCTACATCTGACCCCCAAATGCCCCTAAGCCCCCCACATTACCTATTTTTTATTCTTTATTTTCTGCCCCGATCTTTATTCAGGGCGCAGCCATCTTTGTGTGGGTAGAGGAAGTCCCTGTGGGACACGTCACCTGCCCACACTAGACAGACTGTGAGATTCCCACACATGCCCAGTGAAACACCTGGACATGCGAACGGGAATTTCATCCATTCATCAGACAGACGAATGAGTGAATAGAAATATCAGGAGAACAAACAAACACTATGTATCAGTGTTCGTTTGTTTGATCAGTTTATTACAAGGAGGGAGCTACCGGCATGCAGCTCCCTCCTTGTAATATGTAAAGATAGAAGCGGCAGTGCTCCCCACCACTTCATAAGCCCCCCAGTGCCCCCTCACCCTATGGGGGTCAATATGACCCCCATAATAGCACAAGGGAGATTAAAATCTCCCCAATGCCCCTACTCGCTATACCGCAAGTAGGGGAATGTCCACTAAACAGTGAGCAGCCTGTGGCTGCTCACTGTAAAAAAAAAAACAAAACAACTAACTATTGGCCCCCACCCCTAAACGACGGGTGGGGGCCCTAAAGTAAAATAAGGGAGGAGACCTATTGCCCCCCCCACCCCTGCGCGGCGGGTGGGGCCATATTGATAATGGGGGGGACCTACTGTCCTACCCCCCTGCCCCCACCCCTGTGCGGCGGGTGGGGGCCATAATGATAATGAGGGGGGGACCTACTGCCCCCCCACCCCTTCGCGGCGGGGCCATATTGATAATGAGGGGGGGACCTACTGCCCCCCGGCCCCCACCCCTGCGCGGTGGGTGGGGGCCATATTGATAATGAGGGGGGAGGGACCTACTGTCCACCCCCACCCCTGGGCAGTGGGTGGGGGCCATAAAGATAATGGGGGGAGGACCTACTGTCCTCCCACCCCTGGGCGGCGTGTGGTGGCCGAATGATAATGGGGGGACCTACTGGCCCCCACCCCTGGGCGGCGGGTGGGGGCCATAAAGATAATGAGGGGGGGGACCTACTGTGCTCCCCCCCACCCCCGGCCCCCACCCCTGGGCTGTGGGTGGGGGCCCCAAGTAAATTCCCTAGTCACCCACACCCCCCACCCAAATAAAAAGTCCCTACCTACCCCCCTCACCCTAAAAAATAGTGAGGGGGGAATAAAATAACTAACCTGTAAAATAAAATTAAACTTACCATTCGACGTCTTCTTTTTTCTCAAATCTTCATTTTTCAGCCCCAAAAAAGGCCAAATAAAAAAACATCATAACCGTTGAACTAAAAAAAAAAATCCCGAGCGCAAAAAAAAATCCATCTTCACCCATGGAGGGCTCCGCGCAGACTGAGCTCCGCAGGGCGAGGGAAGGCTTATAAAGCCTTGCCCCGCCCTGCAATTAGGCTAAGAACACTCTGATTGGTGGGTTTAAGCCAATCACAGTGCTCTTTGTCATTTTACACAGCGTGGGAAAGTTCTTTGGAATAGGATCAGAGTTTCATTCATTCGAATGAAATTCCGATCCGAATAAAGTGCCAAATTGCGTTCTAAAACAAACGAACATACTGTTCTCATTCAGTTAGAACGCAATTCGGCAGTTTCATGTAAAGTGACCGGAAGCATCGCGGGAACACGGAGGAAAGGTAAGGATCATGGGAAAATTGCTCTGACCAGCGGAAATTAAGCACACTTTGCTCCTCTGCTGGTCAGAGCTGGTCAAGCGGAGGAATCCTCCAGAAGTCCCTACTAGGGATCGACCGATTATCGGTTTTACCGATATAATCGGCCGATGTTCTGTATTTTCTGCAATATCGGTATCGGCCAATTCAGATACCGATATTGCCGATAATACCTCCTAGGACCGCCAGGCTCATTACAAGCCCGGCGGTCCTGGGGGGAGCGGGCATCAAGCGCTTACTCACCTCCCAGCAGCTCCTCCAACTCCCCAGTGTAACTCTCGCGAGACCCGCGGCCGTCAGAGCGTTGCCATGGGTCACCATGGCAACGCTCCGCGCGACACGCTGGCCGCGAGAGTTGCACTGGGGAGCTGGAGGAGCTGCTGGGAGGTGAGTAAGCGCTTGATGCCCGCTCCCCCCAAACCTCAGCCAATGCCACTGGACCACCAGGGACTGTCATATCCCCCCTCCCTGGCCAGGCAACAAGCAGGGAGGGGGGACAACAAACAAAAAATAATAAAATCTAAAAAAAATAATAATAATAATTTAATAAAAAAATGCCCCCTCACACACACTCCATTATATACACATACACTACACAAACACACTGTGTATATAATGCAGTGTGTGTGTGTGTGTGTGTGTGTGTGTGTGTATAATGCAGTGTGTGTGTATACAATGCACACAAATACACACACTGCATTATATACACACACTGCATTATATACACACACAGCATTATATACACACACAACACAAACACACTGCATTATATACAGTGTGTTTGTGTAGTGTGTGTGTATATAATGCAGTGTGTGTTTGTATAGTGTGTGTATATAATGCAGTGTGTGTGTGTGTGTATACAATGCACACAAATACACACACTACACACACACACTGTATTATATACACACACTACACACAAACACTGCATTATATACACACACACTGCATTATATACACACACTACACAAACACACTGTATATAATGCAGTGTGTTTGTGTAGTGTGTTTATATAATGCAGTGTGTGTTTGTGTAGTGTGTTTATATAATGCAGTGTGTGTGTGTGTGTGTAGTGTGTGTATATAATGCAGTGTGTTTGCATAGTTTGTGTATATAATGCAGTGTGTTTGTGTAGTGTGTTTATATAATGCACACTACACAAACACACTGCATTATATACACACACTATACAAACACACACACTACATTCACTATACACACACACACTTTGCATTTAGTATATACAGCATTCACTTTATGCACACTACCCACACACTACACAAACACTCTGCTTTCATTATATACACAATACACTAATACACACTGCATCCACTACACACACTCGACAAATACACACTGCATCCACTACACAAACACACATTGCATCCTCAACACACACTACACAAACACACAATGCATCCACTACACACACACACACACTACACAAACACCCTGCATCCACTACACAAACACACACAGCTCCCCTGTCTAAACACACGGCATCCACTACATGTGGCATGTATATTTTGTGCATTTACCTTTAGAAATAGTTTTTATTTTCCAAAATGGTAAATGTACAGAATATCGGCAAATTATGTCGGCTATCGGCCTGAAAGTTCACAGAATATCGGTATCGGCTCTAAAAAAATCAATATCGGTCGATCCCTAGTCCCTACTTTGTCTTATGATTTTAAAGAAACCTAAAGAAGACAGGAAGAAAAGAAGAACAGATCCTGAGAGAGGGGGAGAAGAGGAAGAGATTAAGGAAAAGTAAGTTCGGAATGACAGTGCCGCTTTAAGTCGTCACAGATTTATTTCTTTTTTTTTCTTTTTTTACTTTTTTTTCACTTTTGCATACATATGACATTCTTGAAATACTTAAAATGTTGATATAAAAATCTAGTAATACTTGGGTGTTCTACCCTGATAGGTGGCGGAGTGTAGAAATAAAATGCTAAATGGTGCTCAACTGGATCAGGATTCACAAGTCCTATATGAGAAACTAGACAAAAGAAACACAAAAGTTAATAGTGGGATGATCAGGAGCTACTATTTAGGATATAGAAGATATATAATATGCGAGAAGGTAGGACAAAAGAGTAAAACAAAAAGGCATTAATACAGCATGGGATAAAAACAGAAAATATACTGAACAAGAGACAGTATAAAGACAGACAAATAAAAAAGTTATAGAAATATGGTGGATCAGAAAATATAATTTAATACTTATTCAAGTCCAACTTCTTGAATAATCAAGAAAGTCCCACAAACGACCTTTTAAATGTCCAAAATATAGCAAACCGGGGCAGGGCCTGACCGCCGGCGGGATCAGACGTGCTCTGTCTGAGCTCCCGCTCCAGTGCCCGAAGTCGGTGTAAATTGGAGGCTTTACGAGACTGGAAAACCACACAGGCGACCACACCGACCCCCAGTCACTGGGGCAAACTAGTATACCGCATGAGACTCTCTGGCGCCGACAGTGACCCGACTGGGGCACAGAGCCCATGGGGGCTTGAGCCGGGATGAGACGGCCGCTCTCCCGGGTCTCCAGCCGGCGTCACGCTTCCCCCCCCCCTTCTGGACCGGGTGGGTCATCCCGGTCTGCAAGGGTACTAGCCAGCACATCAACCCGGACCTAAACAGCCGCTGGTGAGGATTAGCCGCTGGGCGAAGGCCCACAAGATGGCCACCGCGCGCCGACCATATGCGTGAGCTGCCTGTGGGATCGAGCGGATGCTTACCTAAAAGTGAGGAAGCCAACGGAGCAAATGAATGAGCACACACTGCTACCCTGCCGGGTCCTTACAAAAAAAAAGCAAAGTTTATGGACACTGCAAATAAGACCTCACCGCACTCTAATGGAAGTGCCTGCAGTAGCACATACCACAAGACATGAAGCAGAACCTGCCCTGACAGCACTGACCACCCAAGGATTCAAGACAGAGCACAGCCAAGAGGAACCCTGGTTCATAGACTGGAAAATCTTGGGACTCACTGTGGCTGAACTCCCTGCTGTGACTCACCTGTGGCATTGGGTGCCATTCAGATAACGTGACTCCTGCTAACACAGGGCAAGACCAACACCAGCAATAACTCTTGTTATCCTCAGTCTATGCATTACATTCTTAGGACCCTGTGGTGTTGATAGTTTATCTACTTTCCTAACAATACTTAGCAAGCGACTATCTTAACTAATTAACTTAATCTCCTGATGGCCTGACATGTCTCCTAGCACTGTTTTAATTTCTTTTGTTGTTATATGACAAGCATTTAACTCCTCGTGTTCACTTGTTTTCTGGTGCTACATGTTAGGCTGGCAGGTCCAGGTACACAGGTCCTTGCCTATAATTTGACTCACTCCTGTACCTCACTTGTGATGTATACTAAACTTAGAAAGCTCACATCTCATATTCAGTATGCCCACCAGTTAAATATGCCTGCCTAGCCTGTTCATTAAGGTTGAATTCCTGTGCTGTCTGTGCCATTACTAATCTAGACGCATGTAACCACACTACAACTACACTAGCAAAGTTACTCTAGCAATGTTAACTGTGAATCACCCTACCTTATGCTAACGTTTTCGCTGTTTAACCAATCTTGTTATACCTATATAAAAATGTGCAATTTCTCATGCCACTGTCAAACCTAAACACACCTTCAAATACGCTATTGTGGCGTATGTTGATAACATGTAACTAACTGCACAACAAAAATAAAGAATTTAAAAAAAAAAAAATATATATATATATATATATATATATATATATATATATATATATATATATATATCAAACCAAGATTGGGTGCTGTTGCGGCCTATAGCTAAACGGCCAAGGGTTGCTGGACACAAACTTGCTTGTTGAAATAATATAGTACTTAAAATGTAATAGGTAAGTACAAAGAACCAGTGATCTAGTAAATTACAGAAAATGACTGTGTAATAATATGAATATCCACTAGGTGTCCTCAGTGTACCTTTAATTTATTCTGGATGGCTGGATAACTAGTAAAAAAAAATAAAGTACTCACTTGGTGGCCTCCAAATTCATTTCACAGTAGATTAAATGCAAAATAGCGAATAAAACCCTGTCTTCTGGTCTCTGGAATGTCTTTCTAGGATGGGGGCTGCAGTTCTCCCAGTCTTATAGTCCAATACGATGACCAAGTTAGTGTGAGTTCCACTAGATGCTGTGCATTCCAGTGTGATAATTCGCTGATTATGGTTGGAAGGGCAGTGGTTCAGCCTACATGGATTAGAGATCCTCTGTTGGACTTTCTTGATTATTATACAAGATGGACACTGATATTTAGTTATGTTTTCTTATCTACCTTGTTTCTATACCTCCTTTTTTTTTTCTTCTGTGTTTTATACTGTCTCTCATTTGATATTTAAATATTTCACCATATAATCTGTTTTTATATTTTTTTTATCAAATACTGTCTGAGACTTTTTTTTATACCTGTTAAAACTTAAAGACCAATTTCTCTGCTTAATGCAGGTTTGAAATTGTTCGCTAAGGTGCTGGCCCAGAGGATGTGCCAGGTGCGTACTTCTTGTCATCTCGGATCACTTGGGGTTTATCCCAGGTAGGAAGGTAAAGGACAAAACAACCAGAGTTTTTGATGTGATGCATGCAGCCCAGAGGGCCGGTCGGCATCTCCTTCTCTTCTGTACCAATTCTAAAAAAGCATTTGACCGTGTTGACTGGGAATTCGTGATTGCAACACCGGAAAAGATGGGTTTTGGCCCCCAGCTGGGAGATCTAATCAGCTTCCTGTGTTCTATCCCGCTGACTCGGAATCAAATTAACAGAGCCCTCTTGGTTTTTCATTTGCAATGGTACAAGACAGGACTGCCCCAATTATTAGAACAAAAAAAAATATATTTTTTTTTTAGCTCTCGAGCTATTTCTGGAAGGCATTCAGCAGCACGTTGGCATTATGGGATTTGACAGGAGAAACAGACCCACACAAGATAGTGGCATATGCTGATGATCTCCTGTTTTTTTGTTAGGCAACCCTGGATTTCTGAATATTTTGCCTTCTTGCAAGATCATTTCTCCTTCCAATGGTGCAGGGATAAAATAAAACACAGAGGAATATGGAGATGTCATGAATCTACTTCACTCAGTTCCTTCAGAGTTGCAGGGAATCTGCTTACTGGTGAGGGCAGTATGTTTCATGGTTTGGGTGAATGAATGTCTTACAGAGGGTTCTTTACTTACTTTGTACTATAACCCTTTATGATCCTGAGGGCCTTCTTTAGGTCTTTGGGGACTATGTTCCTTGCTTATGGAATTTGGCATCTGCAGGCTCAAAATTGACTCCCTTTACTTACCCAAAGAAGGGTTGGTGCTGGTGGGGTTACCTGCACAAATGAGATACTACAATGTCATACACATATTGCGAGTAATAGACTGGGCCCAACAAAGCGACCATCCTAAATGTATGTCCTCTGAGCTGGAGGATTCTGTCGACTCTCTGCCACTGCTGGTGTGGCTGTACAGGAAACATTGTCCTTTGTTACTATGAGCTCACCCCACAATCAGGGCGATCGTGCAAATTTGCAGCACTACGATCAGGCCTTAACCCCGATCACAACTTTTATAGTGTACTTAGTAATTTCAAACAATTATGCCTCCTGAGGGAGCATCTAGACAGGGACATATCTTCCTTGTATAAGCTCCGCCTGAAAGTAGTACAGACTCCACCCCTAGGTTTACAGTTGACTGGGAGGGGGGCTTTGGGAGGACATTCTCGGACAAACAGTAGGAAAGTGTGTTTATGTTCGCACTTAAGTTCTCTTGAGACTCAGAGTCAAGAAATGAACTACAAACTCTTGACAAGGTGATACAGGATCTGTCACGTATTCATCCGCTTATAGAAATGTGGTTAATGACATTTACTGTCCACACAGGAAAA